ATGTAAATGAGAAAGCTCTGCACACAAAAGTTAGTTAAGGAGTCCCTCAGGGTTCTGTGCTGGAACCATTATTGTTTAAATGACACATATATTATACAGGCTTCCCTTACACAATATTATTAGAAAACATACATTTTCATTGCTATGCAGATGATACTTTATCTATGAAGATACAAATGAACTAGTTGAAAAACACAAAGGCCTGGATTACCTCTAATTTGCTGAATTCAGATAAAACTGGAGTTATTATATTTGGCCCTAAAATATTAGAAACATGGTGCACAACCAAATGTTTGCTCTGAATGACATAAGGTCCCAGTAACACTTTGAAGAATCTTGGAGTTGCTTACAGCCAGGACATTATCTTTAACACGCATATTAAAGTAGCATGTAGGGCTCTCTGCTATTATATCTTCTATTATTTGTGATGTTTAGTTAGTGCATCACTCAAAGACAAACATGTTGTCTTTGAGTGATGCTGAAAACTCGCTAGTTATGCGTTTTTTATTTAGACTGGACTATTGTAAATTTTTAAAAGCTCCTGGAAAAGTCTTTCAGTTGATCTGGAATACTGCTGTGAGTACTCACTGGGACGTCTGATCCCTATTTAAGCCAAAATTGAATTTAAACCCAGAGTGTAAAGACTACGTTGGTAACTGACTGCTGGTGTAAACTGTCACTATATAAATAACAGTGAAATGAACTGAATCAGTTTCCTTGAATTCAGCTCAGTTTTAATTAAATAGTGCCAAAAACTGTCATCTCCAGACCCTTTCGCACACCTTCAATGAGATCCAGAGTTCCTTTACGAAGACTGGTGAACTTTACAGAAGACTTCATTGTTGTAGGCTTCTGTGGTGGTCATCGTTCTTTTGCAGCAGCAAATGGGAGACCCACTTTCCCAGAGGGAAAGATGGATGTAGGAAAATAAATCCTGATTTTAAAAACATTTCAGCATTTACATTTCAACAAGATAACTCTTTATTTACAGCCGAAGTCCCTGGAGGGGCATGAAAAGTGATCATGTGCAGCAACTATACTTCTCCAGCACGGCCAAGTTTGCTATGTTCTACAAGAAGAACCAGATTTTTTTAAAAGTGTGACGAACCTGATGAATAATTCACAGGGAATTTGACACAGTCGTTACTGTAAACAAGAAAGAAAAAGACTGAAAGTCCTGGCCAGGCCAGATCCAGAATGAAACCCACCACAAGTCCAGGCCTGAACCCAACAGAGCATCTGTGGGGAGAAATAAAGGACAGTGAAAATTGGTTTTATATGTGATTGATTAGCAACATAGTAATATAGATTGTGCTTCTTAGTTTCTAGTTCATATCAATTTTTTCTTGCTTACTGGATTATGTATCTCTTATTAAGGAGAGTGAAGGACACAGCTGAAGGTAGAAGCCAAGAAAGAGAGAAAAGTTGTCAGTTCCAGCGTTTGGATAGTTTAGTCCAGTTAGGTTTAGGTTTCTTTAATCACTGTTTTAATCAAACTAAACGTAGTAAAAATGTGACACTTGAATTTATGGTTTACATTTCACTCACATTTTCTTGTACAAACCAGTGTTGGGACACTCTAAGAAAAAAAGTAATGTATTTTAAATTATTCTTTACTTTTTTAAAAGAACTGTATTATATATATTACTGAATTACTCTCAAGAATTACTCACAACAACACCCCAACAAAATTACAACATGCTCAAAGGCAGCGATTCTACTGTAGCAACATGAAGAGGCAGAAAGGCTCGTCCTTGTTTCTGTCTGCTGGCCTGAGGTCGACACTCAGCACTTTAGTTTTGTTTAAATCTGCTGTCTGTGCAGCTTGCAAGGAGCCCATGTGTGTTAGTAGTATAAACGCAGTTGCTTCTGTCCTGGACGCAGCTTCCTCTTCACCATGGCGCCCTTGGCCTTTTGTGCATTGAAAGTAAAAGTCGTGTCTATTGCTTCATTTCAAAAGTTGTTTTTTCTTTGCACAGAAACTGAAGTCAGCTGGTAGCTGAAGTTCAAAAAGACAAAGACATGATTGATGTTTCTTTCTGATCAGATTTTTCTGATCTCCTGATCAGAACCTGTGTAACACAACAACAACATACTTGTAACTGTAATGTGATTATTAAATGTGTTACATTACTGCATTTCCCA